CGTAAAACCAATGACAACTCGTGTTGTCGAAAGTGCATACGACCTATAACCTCACAACACACAAGTCTCGCCATTCGCGTAGCGCGAATATGTAAATGTTTTTTGTAATGATTTGATTGGACAATATTTTGGCGGGTTTTATTTTGGTTAATTTGTTGCACTTCAAATTTGAATCGTCTCGCTGGGAAGCCATAACCCTTTATCGCTGGGGGTTTAGTATCAAACGTTTTAGAGGTTTTGAGTTTTCTAAAACGGGTTTTTAACGATCTGGGTGACAATACTTAAAAAAACAAGGTTCAACTTCTATAAAAAAAGCGGATTTCATCTTCAAGTTGTCGCTGTTCGTACATCGGCAATTGATCAAAATGGACGACCATAGCCCGTTGAAGGTAGGAACAATCAAATCTTACACAGATCAAAGAGTTCATCATGCAATGTTATTGTCACATGTTTCTCAGATGAACCATAGAGCTCTTTTTTTAGCTCCATGGATGAACGCAGTATTGTCAAAAAAGTGAAAAGTATGGTGGCTCTAGCAAATCTGATCGTTTTTCTTATGTTGTAGTTCCATTTCTTCAACGCGTGTTCATGTTTATAATATATAATAAATTTTACTATAAATGTTGCAATTTGTCAATGGCTCGGTATTGTAGTATACAAGTTATTTTTTAATATTATGGGTCGAAGAGTTTAGTAACTTGAGGCTTGTTGATTTTTTTTTTTCAAGAGATTATTTTGTTAAACAGCTGGCAGCACCAACCACAAGATCACGCAATACTTACTTGGATGTACACACAAAACTCATAGTTTGGGTCAAAATAATGAGTTATAGATTTGATTCCATTGTTATATCGTCAAAATGATTATTATTTTCAAAAAGTTTCATTTTTTGTAAAGTAAAAATATGTAACAAACCTTTTTTTCAACTATCATACTGTTACTGATTCAATCTGATGATGCATATTTTGTGGGACTTGTTTAATATGTACACGAAGTGCTTTTACTGTGTCATGCCATTGGATTAGTTTTTGTATTTATGTGGACTTGTAATAAGCCAATAAGATGACAGATTTTTTGATTTCCTGGTCGTTCCACCTGCATCTAGAAATATGTTAAGGAAAAATAAAAACTTGTCCGGTCACGAGTACCATAGTGGTTGTCGCATCAGACTCGTGATCGGTAGCTGCGGTTCCGTAGCTCTTTGGTGCGACCTACAATCGAATTTCGCCCTAACAATTTCATTTGGACGTCTTTTTTTTAAATTTTTTTGTTGTACGTCGAACATAGAGCTACAAGATCTATCACCATTTAAAAACAGAAATCTGGCATACGTAAATTAAATCGCTTTTGCTTTCGATTACGATGGTGTGACATACCTTTATTGTGAATTGATAGCTGGATGGATAACATACAAACTTTTGTTTGCAATTTGTGTTTATAAATAAGCAATAATTTGTGATATTTTACAATTACCGCGGAAACCAAGCAAATTACGAGAAAACGACAGCCATTGACATCCCACACTCCCTAGCGCAGAATAAATGTAATCTCGTTTGGCGGTCATGTGATACAGTGGTGGAAGAATAAAACTCACTCTTCTCGTTATTCTAATTGTTCCAACAAAGCAATCACATACAGTATTTATAATTGTATGATTTTTGTTTAATAATAGAAACTAGTTGCATAAACGCAATTTATCTACTGATTTCGGTCACGTGGTACAAAATTATAGGTCTCGCGTAATTTGCTATAGGTCTCGCGTAACTCTGTAGTCCAAAATGGCGTCTTTCGTCTTGTTATTTTTCTGCGACTCGGTGTACGGTAAATAAAGTCAATTTTTTATGACCACCGTCATCATTTCACAGCGCAAATAGGTTCTGGTCATTGTTTGGAAGTAAATAAACATAGTGAGTGCTTTCGAAGGTCTTAAAATGTGATTTTCGCGACGACCAAATTTGGCATGTGGATTTTAACCGGTATTCAGTCGCACAAGGCCCCATAGCCCTATGGGCCGGCCAGAGTCAGTCACGTAAATAATGCGGTCGGCAACATAGGGCTATGATTCCACAGCTACGTGATCGGTAGACCTGAGTTCAAATCCTACCTTAGGCTGAACATGGAAGGTACTAACGGAAGGAGCCACAACGCTATTGTTTTAGCTTTACCCCATGATCGTTTGTCTTGTTGTTAGCTTTTAACACCTTCGTACAATGGGTTATGCTAATCTCGAGCATTCGGTAATATTCAGCATGTTCGGAAGCGATAGTCGTACCTCGCATGTACAATATTGAAAATGGCGAACTTTAATGGAAAATTGTCAGATATAACATTGATTGAAGAAGAACTGATGAAATATCGTGAATTTTGTATTTGTAATGGTAATGAGACTTAATGATTGCTTGTGACGATTGCATTATTCAATGGTACCATTGTCAGTGCGTGGGTTTGGCGCCCGAAACTGTCAACATTTTTGACCACCAGACATCGGCGAACAACAACAGAAAAGATAGTATCGAAAGAAGAGCATGCCTCGACACTTTCATATATTTCATAGTCACATTAAAAAAAATGGCGGGGTTGTATCATACTCCGCTAACTCGTTACTTGTGTAAACAATCGCAAACTATCATGGACATCAAAGATGAGCTAGACAATGGCCTTATCAGGATTAATTTGGGTTGAAACAAAAGGAAATAAGTCAATTAAGAGGCTTAAGTGGCCACTTGATGGGCGTCATGGCTCCTTCCCTTAGTACCTTCCATGAGCTGAACATCAAAGGGTCGACCCCTACCCTTGGAGAGTGTGCCACAGACTGAATGGGAAGGCCAATTCCACTGGCCGAGATTCATTCACTAATGAATGCGACTTTGGGGGAACCTTAGTTAAGGTCCGCAGGTGCTTGTGTTCGACTGGGCCTGGTTGACGCCAGGATAGCGCATTAAAATTGCCATTTGATAAGGAGATGGCCACACAGCCCTGTCATGTAGTCCCAAACAGGAAATGACTTCTGTGGCAAAATGCACTATATGTCAGCACTAGCACTTGCAATTTGCACTTACAAAAAAGTCAGGAGAGACAACAGTGACATTCAATGTCCGGAACTGTCGCCTGGCACAAAAACATTTTTTTAAAAAAATAAATAAAAAAAAATTAAAAAAAACACAAAAAAACTCAAGATGGCTGAGCGAAGTGCTTTTACTGTGTCAAGCTATTGGATTAGTTTTTGTATTTATGTGGACTTGTAATAAGCCAATAAGATGACAGATTTTTTGATTTCCTGGTCGTTACACCTGCATCTAGAAATATGTTAAGGAAAAATAAAAACTTGTGCTTTTGGTTTTGTAATGCTCCCTGCAACCCCGTAAAAACAATTATCATGGTGACAAATTGTCAACAATACTGAATTTATTCACACATTTTGAAATTTTCTTGTTTGTAGACGCTGTTTGATAGTATGAACAAAAAGGCAGCAGCAAATGACAAGGAAGCCGGGGATGTCCCTCCACCTAAGAAGAAACCGGGAAAACGTCTTTCTGTTGAACGTATTTACCAGAAAAAAACACAGTTGGAGCACATCTTGCTCCGTCCAGACACTTACATTGGTTCAGTTGAACCGCTGACGCAGGTGAGTTTTCACGAGACCAAAATGATGGTCTTCATTCCTTTTGTTTTGTACATTTACTACATATTCTGTGGAGAGGTCATTGTGGGATGGGACAACTGTCAATGCCACAGGTAGTGGTGGCACCTTTACAGTATAAAAAGAAAAATTTCTCTGGTTCGACTTTGTATACACACTCCCTAAGTCACTTATAATTAAATTGAATTTTGTTTTGAAGACTGACCTTCCCAACAAACTAAATTTTGGGAGATTTCATTTTGACTTTGGATTTCTACAAAATCAGTTTTGCCAGAGGGCACACTGCTACATTTGTAAACCTATAGTATAACAATATGGGACTACCTGCTCAGGGTTCTCCACGGTTTGAAAATTAAACAGGGCACGCCAATGTGAAGTGGGCGTGGCGTATTTGTAACGTGCATCATTGGCAAGGATGTTGAAAAATGGAAACCAAAAAATCCATTAATCTACATATTACATATGCATAATATATATATATTATTACAAAATGAATAGGAATTTTGAAGAGCTATTATTAAGTAAACGTCAGCACGTACAATCAGCTGATTTTAGCTGCACGATTCCTCAAGCGGTGACATCAGTTGTTTACAAGTAATGATCGCGTCCAGAAAAAAACGTAACAAGTTTGTTAATTTATTTTCCCAAATAGATACATACATGCTTTATTTAATTATTAGCAAAAATTTATATTTATGATTTATATTTATTTGGATGAAGCAAAATAAAATATATGTCGCACAAAACGT